GAGATGCCAATAAACATTGGATGAATGAAGAAACACAGTCTTGGGTGAAAGCCACACCAAGTCCTGTGATGAGATGTGGGCGACATGAACCAATCTCAGTTCCAAAAGCCCTCAGTTGCAGGGAAAGGGTGCGGAGCAGACTATCCCAACCTGTACAGAGCTTAGCACAGGGCACACTGGGTAAACCCTCAATGGTGGCTCTTTATTATTAAGATTACCACCAGGCACAATAGGGTGAGATCTTTGGGTGAAAAGAGGCACCACTAAAGTTGGCTGAGACCCAGACAGTTCTGAAGCCAGGCAGATGCCAGGCGCCTGTCTTCCTGACCTACGGAGTAGCCACAGTGGGCCATGGCTCCATACTTAGTTCCTGGGTTTCACCAGAGGACAGGTCACTACCTGCCAAGTGATAACATCGTCTGAGTTAGCCCTGCAGAGGAGATGACATGTGAATAGAGATGGCAGCTAACATTTACCAGATGTGGATTATGTCATAGGTTTCTGTGCTAAATGCTTTACCTGTGTTATCTTATTTAATCCCCATGAACACCCTAGAGAGATGGTACTGTAATGATCCACATTTCACAGATGAGGAAGCTGAGGTTAAAAACATGCCCAAGGCTAGTTTGTGACAGTTGCCCACACTCATGCTGTTCACCATTCAGCCATGCTGCCTGCCAGTAAACAAGAGAATTAGGCCCACTGCCTACCCCCAAGACCAAAATTGCACTGGAGACATGGGCCATTCAAGCATGAAAGTGTTAATGCCAGCACAGGCAGTGAGGGCTCAGAGGAGGGACCACTAGTCTGGGGATCGGGAGCCTGGGTTCCAGTCCAGTTTTGGCCCTGGCTGCAGAGTGAAGTTAGACAAATCCTGTCCTCGGTCTGATTTTGTATTTCTTCATTTTCCTAATGGATGCAATGATCCTGATCTAGATAGTGGCTGTGAGTCTCTCGGTGAAATAACTTGCACACCACAGTGCTCTGTCCATTGTAAAGTGCTATACAGATGTGAGGGCTCATCAGAAAAGGGAGAAATCATCATGGCTGGAGAAGGCAGGAGAGGCCTCAAGGTGGGAGTGAGGTTTGAGCCAGGCTCTGGGATCTGCTGAGGTCTTGGGGGGAAAATAGGAGGCAGAAGAAGGCTGTGTTCAAAAGGATGCACACCCAAGTCATAAATGGATAAGAACCTACTCAGGCCAGAGGGGACCAGTGGTCAGGGTGATGCTGGAGTGCTGAGACCTTCAGTGGCAGGCCAATTGAAGGCAATGTAAAACCACTGCTGTTCCCTGAGCATTTTAAAATCCCAGAACATTTATTATGAACATAGCCCTAAGGAACCTGACCCAGCCGTCTCCCACCTGTCCCCATTTTATTGATGAAAAAACTGAGGCCCACAGAGGGCATGTACTTT